GGGGGGGGGGGGGGAAGGGGACGAACGTCTTGGTTCGCGCGTATACACGCGCGCGCTCGTGCCGAGTGAATAAGGAAATACTCACTAGCGAGTCCACCTCCGGGTCCGCGATGTAGTACGGCTTCTCTTGTCTGATCTGCAACACACGGACACACATGTATGAGAGCGTTAATAATTGGATCCAGCGGTAATTGCGGCATTAAAGCTACACGTACGATCGTATCGCGGTGTATATGCATATATGTATAGAGGATACACACAGGCGCATCGGCGCGCACACGAGTACATACACAGCCGAACTCATCCTCCACCTCTCGTTACCCTCCCCTACTCCCCCACCTCCCTCTCTTATTTCTCTAAGCGATTTCCTTCGCGTGCTTCCTCTTAATTGGACCCCCACTGTTCGATTCGTACGTACAGAAACGGAAACGCGTCGGGGAACGCGATGGAGTCGCAACGGCGAATCGAGGAAAGAGACGGAGAGAGAAACGACGAAGAAGTCGGAAAGGGCGTCGAGATTCTCAGACATTTTTGCGACGTCAACGCGAGAACCTGGGAGGGAAATGCGATGCTTTCGATTTGTTTCGCGGAGATCTCCAATTTCTTCGAATTTGTTAAGCAAGACGAATCTCGCTGGTCGGTGCTGATTTGAGCCCCGATCGCGTGGAATTCACGGACGAGACGGGACGAGCGCTACGCCGCACGACGACGTCAGATCGAACGAACAGATTAGATCCTCCAGGATATCGTTAACTCTCTATGGGGCCAATTATTTGCGCCGCTGGAAAAAGCACGCTGCCGGCCTGCCACGCCGGGGAGAAATTAATTACCGAACGGATACATATCTCCGTCGATTCTTTCGCTACGCGCCCCGTCTCTCATTTTTACGTCCTCGAGAACGCGGAGCGCGAGGTTCTTAATGTTACTATAAATACACCCACCGTAAGTAAGTTCTTTCGCTTATTTATTCATCGCGCGCGCGCGTACATGAGCGTGCTCAGCCGGAGACACAGCGAGGATTCGTTCGGGAAGAAGCGAACCCCTCGGTATGTACGGCGTCGAGGATCAGAGGAGCGGCGAAACGCGAGATTCAGTCGGGAGAAGCGAGTCGCGCGCGTTCGAAAGAAAAAGATCGGATAATGAAATATTGTCCGCTCGCAAGAATTCCCAGGCAAGAGGCGCGCGTATTCATGAGCCGGAATTCTGAATGGGAGTCATCCTCGGCCTCTCCTCTCCGCCGGTGACCGTATAGGTAATGAAGGCGTCTCGCGCGACAAAAATACTGTCAACTCTGTCCTCGTGGGGTGACGCGGGAGGGGGGAGGACTAGTTCTTGCACGGCCCTGTCATCGCGCTTTTTCCACCTAACGCCATGCAGGTAGGAAAGATTACAATTTGTAAACAGCCCGTTCCATTTTCTCCCCGACCGACTCCCTATTCTACCCTCCCTTTCCTTTCTCCCCCGTCACCGTTCGTTCTTTGCGCGACGTTTTTCCCAAAACGAGAAGCTGTCGGCGGTTCATACGCCGACACGTGCTGACACGCATTCGTAAGAAGACCGACGGCAGTCCGCGGTGAAAAGAAAACGTGATATGTCCGAAAGAGAGTAACGGAGTAATTGAAAGAATCCACGAGTTCAGTCCTGACGTAGCAACTCCTTAGTACACATAACGCCATCATACTTAGCTGAAGAAAAATTCATTCGCGTTATTAAAAAATTACGAGAAAAAAATAACGATCTGTGTAACGTTAAAACGACGAATGTGGAATCTCGTAGAAAAAAAGAAATCACGGTACCCGCCGCGCGCGACGACGGTGTCGAGAAGGAGATTGACCGGCGCGCGCGCGAGGATGTTCGATGAGAAAACAAACAGCGATAGATGCGTATAGAAACGTCAGCAGCATTCGCCGGCTGTGTCGGGCGGAGGCCGAATAACTCAGCGGCAATGGCGGTAAAAATATTGCGCGATAATATTTAGAGAATGCTCTCTCTCGTTCCGGCACGCGGGGTGTCTGTTCGGGTGCGATCTCGGCAGCGCCACGTACGAGAGCACCACATGGAGGGCGAATACGTTCGCGTATTTGCCTGACTGCCTGGCTTTCGTGGTATGCACCGATCCTGCCGAAATATACACGAAGCAGCTGCTTGGAGGTTGCTGTTGCTGCTGTCGCTGCCACCCCCTTGAACTCTTCCCTTCCGAGAACTCTCTTTGCAAGCTAAGCGTCTCAATAAGTGATACGAATGGATATTAGCGACGTAGATACTGAACTAACTTTGGACCTTTTAAATTGTTTAATAAAATGTGAGAGTAACAAGGGGAAACGTGTCATTTAATTTAATTTTTATAACCGAATAATAACTATATATGCGTTTCGTGTTAAGTTAAGATTAATGGGCACTGCAAAGGCACTCAAAAATGAACGATCTATTACAAAGTCAATATTCAAAAGCAATTTTCCTTTTTATTTCAGTGGATTTCCTCTTTGTACTCTTTTAAGGGGGCTTGAAATAATTTCTTGGAAGCGTAAAACATTTGTATGCAAGCTTGCAAAGCGTAGGTACCGAATCGAGAGAAGCGAACATCTTAATTTTCCGCAATGAGCGAGAGCTGGCGATACATGAATTCTAGAACATGTTGAAGTGACAAACATGCGAATTTGACCATGACGAACATAATGACAGGACTATGAGGAATGCGACCAAAGTCACGTATAATCTCGGAAAAATCCTTAGCCAGGTAAATAAGTGACCTCAGTCAATGTTATTCAACCCGAACATGAGAATAATTTCTCATGTTCAGAAGAAATCTTTCAAGTTCCCGAAAGTCCCCAAATTGAATGTGTGCGATCTTTACTGTTACAGAAACGTGTCACATTAAATTCACCCGAATAAGCGACTAAAACATCGATTTTTTTTCATTGTTCACCGCTGATGGGTAAGTTTCCCGAAATGAAAAAGAATGCACAGCATGACGCTATTTTTTAGTTTTTTTTTACACGAACAAAAAATACAAAAAAGCAACGCATTTAAAAGCCTCAAGTATTAAGGCACCAAGTTGAAATAGCTGAAACTACTACTGTTCCCCCCAAGTTCGCAGGTAAAAATCTGAAAGAAGCTGGAAGAAACCAGTCAACGTTTCACGCCTCTTTGGAGTTCGAAGTATTGCGAATAAATCCCCTGGTAGATAATACTTAACTGTTACCTTAACTGCTACCTTAACTACCACTTGCTCGACTCGAATAACGACTCACTCTGCATACTTTCTGTTAATTGTTTTCTAGGCATCGACGTCCGTCCGACATAAAAACAAAACTACCGGCGGGTCAACACACATGATACACGATACGTTTCGAGCGTTTCGACAAGCTAAGAGCGTGACCGGCCGATGAACAGAGAACCGCGAACGATTGTACGGCACGTGGGTTTTTGCAAAACGCCACGAGGAGCGACATAGCAGCCGCCGACTCGCCGGAACAAGGAGGAGAAGAAATGGGAGGAAGAGAGTCGCACGGAGGTACACGTGATACCGCGTGATCGCTATCGCGTGGTAGCGCGCACGTCAAAACGAGGAGGTATTTACGCTAGAACGCGATAATTGCGAAATTGTAGCCCGGCGAGACCGCCGGCGATAGCCGCGTCGGGCTCGTAACAACGGAATTAACCCGCGTGTACGCGTTTGGTGTTGAAACGGTTAAAACTGGAAGTGACCGAAGTCGCGAGAAGGAGAGACGCGTCGTCGTAAAGAACTGCTCAGGGAGAGCGTGATTGCGGTATTCGGAAGCTGCGTAAATTTACGGCTTATCGCTAAGCGCTGGTGAAATTTTTCGTTTCACATTCCACGAATTTCGGAACATTCCTAACGACGCTCCACGCGTAACATCCCGCTTCGATAAGTACGTAGGAACGTTAAAATGAATAAAAGATGTCTGTAATATTTTATACGCAGAAGAAAAAAAGAGGGGGGGAGGGAGGTCATATTGGTCAGATTAACGATCAAGCGATCTGTCCTTCTTTCTCTCTTTCTCTTACGACTGCATATTTCAGAATAAAGATTTCGAGTTGATCGTTGTCGCGACGAGAACCTCAGATATGATCTTCGTTAACATTGTAATTTCCAACTGGTCGTTTTAACTGAAATATCGCACCGTCATTGCACCCACCGCATACGGTGGACGCATTTCGCCGTATAGCCGCAGCCTAAATCGCCGATGACATCACGAAGCGGAAAACCGGTCTCCGAGCGTGATGCGTAGCCGAGTCTTATTTCTTACGTGGGTTTTGTTTCGTTAATTGGCTGCGAATCGCCGTTAAAATCAAGCTTCCGCGATCGCTGCACCGCTTCTCGCAACGGCTCATTGGGGTTTCTACAGAACGCGTGATTACGTTACCGGGGTGAACGTTCCATCGAAAGAAACAAGTTATTTTTCTAAGTAACTTATCTATTTAAAAAAAAATGTATAGAGAAAAAAGGAGAAAAAGAGAGAAGAATTGTTTTCGCATTTTATGCATCAGAAATAATTGCAACCGCTCCTAACCGCTTCGTGTGAAACTGTTCTCAATGATTTCAACCGAGCTCCCGAAGATAAGGCGACGCTCGTGGTTTTTTTTGTCGTCTTTGCACTTTTTACCGAGTCCGCGTAATCTGCGGAAATGAATGGGAAAAAATGGACCGGTGTCGGACGCGAAATAGCAGGGACATTACGTCGGGAATAAGGTTGCGTTTGTCTCGCGGTCGCATTAGGCAGCGCGCGTCACGGGTGCGGGGGTGGTATTTTACGAGGGTTTAATGTCCCCGGAGGTGCATCCTAATTGTACCAATAAATCCCGATAGGATCCTTCTCCTCTCGTTCCTCTCGTTCGGTCTTTGGCCGCGCGTGCGCTTGTGCGTTTACGTGTGTATGTATGCATCTGCGGACACGGCACGAAATCGCGATGAGCACACGCGCACGCCGCCCACGTCTCGTATCCGAGGCACTTCTCGGCACTTTCCACTCATTGTTCAAGGCGCAATTACTACCGGGAAAATGTCTCGCTCGCGGCTAACAGCAGTTGATATCGCGCCCATACTTCGCAATACACGCATACAGAGTGTCGCGCAACTAGCGACCTTAATTCGCATGATGGATTCCCCGATGA